TTTGATTTATTTATTTCCTTTTTTTTATTAATAAATAAAAGTTCTTTACAACAAAAAAGTTTAACAAACATATTACATTAAAAGAAAATCATTATCAAATTTGGTTGAGAGATTCAAAATATTCTAACACAAAAATTATTGTTGCACTTTTGAGCATAACTTTCAAATTTAAAAAATCTATGAAAAAGAAAATTTTGAGACAATTTTTTTTTTTAGATTAATAGACTCCCTTTTTAAAGCTGAATTGAATGGTGGTAGGTTTTTTAAAATCCAATGTGTGGATCACATAATATTTCAAAAATTATAACTTTTTAGTATAGATGATCTTCACAGTATTAAACATGAAGACTTTTACAAAATATAACTTATTCAAATGCTGATTAATTCTAAATATTTCTTTATTTAAACTTGGATATTTTATTTTTACAATTATTAATAATAATAAAGGTGTGAAAAAAAATTCTAATTTTGGAATAGAACATTTTTTGTCCAATATAAATATTTCAAAAATCTTGACATGTTTATTATTAGTCTTGCATGATTTTTAAAAATCTCATTTATTTTTGTCAAATGCACTAATCTACAATTTTTCAAAAAAGGAAATCTTCTATAGTCTGTTTTATAACTATGGAATAAAGTTATATAAGTTCCACATAACCTTCTAATAATAACTGTTTGATTTCAGAATATCTTAATAAATATATTTCATTTGGTAACATTTTATCCAAAAAATAATTTTCTCCATCACTAAAAAATAGTTATAATAAATGGCAATGATGAAAAACATTAATAATTATTGTAATCATTATTATAATCAATTAATAAATATAGAGATTCCTTATTTTTACATTCACCTCCTCCTCAATAAAAAATAAATAATAGTGTGGATAATATATATACCTTTTAGGAAGTTGGCTTTCATCAACCATTCTTATAGCACGACAAAATATTGTTTTCTGAAGATCCAATTGACTTGATAATAAATCTAAAAAAGAAAATTAAGTTTAATTAAATCAGAAAAATCTATTTATTTTATTATTACTGTTATATTAACCTATATTTTCAGATTCTTCAATACTATCTTCTTCTTCCACCCTTTCAATTTCATCATCATCTATATCATTTATATCATCTAAAAATGCATCCTTTTCAAACTGTTTAATAAGTTTTTTGTAACTTTTTTTTTAAAAACAATAATCAATATTAATTATAATATGATTTATTTATAATTGTTTTTACATAATTATGACTTACTTGTTAGCAAATACTGATTCTGCATCAGACAATCTTTGTAAATACATTGGTGTATTTAATATTAATTCTAATTGTTTTTCAATCTTTTGATTTATATAATTATGTTTTTTAATATATATATTTAACATAAATCTATTAATAAATAATAAAAATAATAAAAATACTTACTTTGCTTATTCGTATCATTGTATATTTTTGTATTATATATTTCATACGTTCAACATCTGCGAGCAACATGAAACCTATATAAGAACTTTCACTTTTTGCATTTCTAAAATTATTAAGAGCTGATTCCATCTTATTATATATAAATTATATATATATAGATTTTAATATATTTCTTTTTATTTTTTTTAATCTTGTATTTTTCCCCAAATATATATATATAAACAAGTGAATCATTCATTACTTGATTATTTAATTCAACATATAAATTATCTAAAGCTGGCTCAATAGGTAAAATTTCTGGAGCAAATTTTTCATTTATTAAAGCTGTTTTTACTTTTTCATAATCAGTTTTTGAAAAAAATTTTCTTTCTTCTTCCTCCTCCTCATCTTCTTCCTCTTCTGACATTTCTTCTTCTCCCATTCCAATCACCATATTGTCCACATTATCTTCCATCATAAATTCTTGTTTATCTAGATACATTTTTTTTTGTTTTGCCTGAACAACCATTTTTGTGTTGATCATGTCAATATTTAAAAGGGAAGATCGTACTATATAGTACAATGATAACCGCCTCCTCAAAAGGAGGGAGGCCTACTGACACGTGGCATCGCCATAGTTCAATTCCATTCCTTTATTATATAAACTTATACATATATTTGGGAAAATACACTAGAACACAGAAGACAAAGCAAAAAAATACATTCATCAAGAAAATTACATAATATTTAAATTTCATGATCTTTCCTATTTATTTTATTTCTATTATATTACCATTGTTATTAATAAATAATATTGTGATCCCTTCCTTCCATTTGGTGATGCTTTCGCATCTTGTTTTCCAAAATTTTTTTTGCAAAGATTGCTGCTGGATAATTTCCTTTTTACTTTATTTATTCATCTATATGGATAGATTGAGATACACGGGAACTTTTCGATAGAAGCAGGGGAAACTCTAAAAATAGATTGTAAAAAGATCTGCATTTCAATTATTTTTGAAACTTCAAAGGAAAAAATTTCAAAATTTTGCCATATAAAGTAGGCAAAATAGGTATTGTTCCTAAGCCAAAGCTGTTCTACATAAAGAGTTACGCGTAGAATTGAAGAACATTTTTTTAAAAACAAAATAATAATTTCTCTTTTTTTTAAAAAGAACCCTCAAAAATAAATGCGCGTTTTATTATTTTTGTTACACAAATGAGTTCAAAAAATCATCTTTGATGAATTATGAAAATTATTTAGTTCAAATTACTGCAAATGAATAATCAACAAACACGAAAAGTGGAAAGGAAATAGTTACAATATTATTAATGTCAATGTAAAATCCTTTTTTGTCCTCCTGGAAAAAAAACCCTCGTACAAACCATATATTTTCTGAGAATGGTGTCTTTAAAATCGAAAAATATACACTTCTTTCCATCATTACTCTCCAAAGACAAAACTGCTGGCAAATAAAAATCGTGCTTGAAAGAGTAAAAGTACAAGATTGTGTTTACTTGAAAGCATAAAAATTTGCCAATTCTTTCTTTAAAGTCTGCCATGTCAAAGAAAATAGCCTGATGTGCTAATACTGATTATAAAAAACCATTTCGATTATAAAATAACCTTTAAAAAATTTTCATTTTATGTCTTAAAACACCATTTTCAGTAATTTTTAGACAAAATTCAGTGTTTATTATAAAAATATAGATAGAATACAGACAGAGCGGTCATTGTATTTAATTTATCATGTAAAATTTTTTTGATAATAAAATAAAGAAAAAAGATGCGGTTCTCTCGGAAAAGTCAAATGATACCATCAAGCCATGCTAAATTAACAGATGATATAAATCAACCTTCCTTTCCATACAACAGGGCCATAATTGACTGTATATTATTTTTATATTAAATAAGAAAACAAAAAGAAATTCAAAATTAATTAATGTAATTAGTTAAATTTTTTTTTTTGAGCATAAATTACATGAATATTAGAATAAGTTTTGTATTCGTCCAATTCATTAGTTAAATTATCAACTAAATAATTATATTGCTCGGAAGTTATACTCCAAGAGAGTAACAATATAGGACCAAAAGCTTTTGCCAATAAAACCAAATCTTCCGCCATGATTTTACCCACCCCATCACCATTCCATGTACCCATTGGAAGTAATTTAATATTGTGATTAATATTTATTAAATCATTACAAGATGAAAATAAACCTTCGAGTTTATTTGAATAAGTTATATCTATACTTTTTGCTTTCATTATTTCAATCCCTTGAAAAGGAAAGTGAAAATGTAAATTAGAAATGTTTAATAATAATAATAATAGTAAATAAAATCATTGTAATTTATTTACATGCTTCTGATAATCTTTTCACTACTGGACCTCTATTTGAAGCAGGTATTTCAAATTCTGAACTCTAAAATAATAATATTATTATTATTATTATAAATGGAAATATGTGTGTGCACATACACAATATTAATATTTAATATCAATAATATTTACCTCAATATAGCCACCTGGTTTAGTGACTCTGATTAATTCTTGTATACAAAAATCCCAATCGTCTATAGAAAAAGCAGTTATCATATTTCTTATAACAACAAAATCAAATGAGTTGTCATCGTATGGTAAACCCTCTAGAACATTGATTTGTTCAAATTTCACATTAGAAGGTTTAATTTCTGATGGATACATTGGCGAAATATCGATTCCTAGGAATTCTGATTCGGGATAATCATGTCCCATCTCAAGCAAAAATGTCCCGGCACCGCACCTAATTATCATTATTATTTATTAGTATTTTCTACTTGGAAATATTTCCTATTAAAATAACAACAACAAATAGTACACTTACCCAACATCTAAAACTTTTGCACCACCGTATCTTAGCAAATCATCTAAAGGAGAACAAAAATTTTTTTGCCAAATAAATCTTGATATATAATGTTGCATGTGCATTCTATCAATTTCTTCATCATCGTTCGGTAAAGAATATTTTGAACTTTCAAGATATCTTCTGCCATCTATATAAACATTGATTCCATCCGAGCTTTTAGATGAACACAAAGATTTATCATCAGAAGATGAAGAAGATGACAAAAATGATAAATTTGTACGGTTTTTATTTTTTTTATAACATTTCTTTACGCTGATATCACCAATACTAATGGTGCTTCCCATTTTGGATAGGATGGGTAAAAGAAAAACAAAAGATAAACGAATGAATGTATTAATTAATGAATGAATTAATGTATTTAAAAAATTTTTTTAAAAAAATATATACTCAAAATATTCGAATTTATATATAATATATAATAAATTAATCGGCCGAAACGCAAAATTAATCTACTACATGTAGCCTAGTGTGGTCATATAAGTGCATAATAACAGCAATAAATCCCAAAAAAACTCGCAATAGACTACAATTAATTAGGCTTTGAATTGGTATTATTATTAGGATCTTCGTTTTAGCTTATTATTAATGTACAAATTGCATGTTTAAAAGTTACAAAATAATAATAATAATAATACTACAAAGGATTTCAAGGATCATCATAATCATCAATATATAGTATAAATGTTCCCAAATAAAGACTGCCCATTGTGTGATCCAATAATTGACCGATTGTTTTCTAAATAGCAATTAAAGTAATTTACAGTTCTGGAACGTTGGGAAGGGTAAGTATTTTTCCGAATAATCAATTATTATCATGCAACCGAAAAATAAATTTTTTAAAATCTTTGGATTTTAAATTATTTCTTGATTATTTTTAAAGAAGGATTTGTTTATTTGTGAAACTACTAACAATATATATATAGGTAGGTACAAGTACATATTTATAATGATAATATATCAAAAGTTCTTTTTTTAAATTTTCTAAAATAAAAAAATCAATCAAAATAAATTATAATTACAATGGCAAAAATTGAAATTTCAGACGATTTTGGATATGTAATGTATTTTATTATCCATTTGATTAATTTATTATTTTAATTATTTAATTTAATTATTTATTATTTTATAAATAATATTTTTAGGTTATCTTAACTGGAGTTGCATCTATTATTTTAACAATTTATCTTTCATTCAGTGTTGTTTCTGCAAGGAAAAAAATACAACGTCAAATATCCTATTTGTAAATGTTTCTTTTTAATTATTTGATTGATTGATTGGTTGGTTGATTGATTGATTGTTAGTTAAAAATGTTTTTGATTGATTTTTTAGTGTATGCGACGAACGAAGAAGCAGAAAAAGATAAAAACAAATTTATTTTCAATTGTTATCAAAGAGCTCATCAGGTACAACCAATCAAAATCATCAAGTCATTTAGTTTCTCGAAGAAATAAATAACTAAATTATAGTTTGTTTTTTTAATAATTCAGAATACTCTTGAAACTTACCCACAGTTTTTATTTTTGTAAGTAAATATTAATTTTAATTAATATTAATAAATGAATAGTACAATAATAATAATAATTCACATTCTTGTTTTGTTTTAATCTGATGGTTAGATTGACTTTTAGTGGATTACAATATCCAAAAATCGCTTCTGTTGCTGGATTAATTTGGATTATAAGTAATTAAATAATCATCATTAATTATTATTTTTAAATAATTACAGTAATTTTCGTAATAATATCATTGTGTTATCATTACTATTATTTAGGTAGTGTGGCTTATGCAAAAGGTTATCAAACAGGTGATCCAATAAAAAGAGGCAGAGGTAGATTTGGCACAATAGGATTACTTGGTCTATTAGTCACATGTATTTTAACTGGTGTAAATATGTTGTTGTAAATTGCATATATTGCAAGATTTATCATTTTTATCATAATAATATATTAATATTAATAAATAATTCGGCATATTAGAGAATTAAATCGTTTTATTGTGTCATAGCATCCCAAACATTCGACTATAAAAAATAAACGTGTCACTGATGTTGCATGAATACCTATTACTATATATTACTATTATAATTGTATCCGGATTATCAAACATGCATAAATGGAATTTTCTCCACTTTGTTGTAATGAGGTTATAAAGAAACGAAGAAATCACTTGCAAAGCTTAAAGAATACCATGTCAACTGAGAGAGCTTCAAAAAAACATGTAAAGTCTGAAGATGATGATTATATTGATATAGAAAAGCTTACACCGCCTACTTTAAATGATACTGATGATGGATGGTATTGGAACATACAAAAAACACATTTGATAAACTTCTTGATAATAAAGAAAAATCTGATTCATTAAATCTTCAAGTTAAGAGTAAAGGAGGAGGATCAAATATCGCAGTTGGATGTATCATTGGGTAAACGAAAAAATTATCCAACAGGTCCAAAAAATTTTATACAGTACCTTGGCAGAAGTTTTGGACACTCCAAATATCTCAATTACGCAAAAAAATTTATATCAACTTGTAGCTTATGTTCCGGTTAATTTAGTCACGTGAAATTTTTTAATGGTAAATTCAATCGTCCGTTACTTACAAAATAATCACACACATGGTCGAATTTCATTATTATGCATTTCATAAATACTAAATTATTACGTCAAACCTCGCTACAGCATGGTTCCAGCCAAAGAAATTCGTTATTATTATTATTATTTCCTTTTCTATATGTGAAAATAAATTCGAAGTTCGTGTCACATGAAGTTTTTTTTTAAAAATATCTCGTTATTTTTATAATAAACTCGAACGTCGTTGTTAGAGCAAAATGAAAGTACTCCGTTAAAGCTTTCTAATGAATACTCTTTTATATAGAAAGGTCTTCTCTACATGAATTCACGGCTATTCAAACTTTTTCACTTCAAAGCTCAGATTATTTCTCAATATCACTTTAAAAGACTTGATAGTAAATGAGAAGGTGTAGAAT